CAGTTTCAACGCGAGAGTGGGTTATTTTGAGTTTGCCATAATCGTGAAAGGCCGCTCTTTCCAATAACTACCAAAAGCATACGACCAGGCACAAAATTCTTAAGTACATTCGGTTCAGTTCTGCCGTTAGCCGTTTGCCGTTAACGTGATGCTTAAACTCTCTATTGTCGCGGCGATGCCGCTAAATTTCAAGCATGTTCGAATCTATAGCCGATTGCGCGCGACAATCGGGCTGCAAAATTTGCAAGTGTAAACGGGCCTTAAAGCCCCGTCTACACAAGCAATTTTTATGTGACAACTATATGTGACAATTTTTTTCCGTGTGGGCATGCAGCAAATAATTGTTCAAGACTCGCGCCAACTGTGATTTTGCACAGCGGATATGTCAATAAACAAAACAAATTTAAATACTATAGTTTCGTAAGAGTACTAGAGATAATAAAACTTTAAAAAATNTAAATAAGAATAATAAAAGAGAAATCTGTTATTTTATAGCTTTTTATGGGCTGCCGGCCATTTAGGATTTCGTTGTTGCCTGGCCGGCAGTCGGTTCAAGTTCGCACAATGTCTTTAAGTGCAACGAATTTCGGCGCGACGTTTATGTAAGTTTTAACACGCTCATTTTACTCGTAGAGTTTTATTTTGGAGTTTGGAAGCTCGTTTAGATAATAAGAGAGGGAAAAAACACATTTTATGGGCTGCCGGCCATTTAGCATTTTCAAGACCTTGACCGTTAACCGGCGATATAAACACAGCGATAAAAAAAACACACTAGGAATGAAATGTGAGCATTTCTCTCTCTACACTGATGTTTATCAAAGTTTCTATTTCCTCCCCAACTTCGTGCAAAGAGGTGATTTTTTGCATAATTTTAAAAGTGATAGGACATTTCTATTCAATGACGACTTTGGTATTTGCTTAGAAACTTGCGTTTTATTGTTTTGGCAATTAAGGATCAATTTATAACTACATCCTGAATGTACATCTCAGTACATCTCTCCTTTGCTTTCATTGTTCACATATTAAAGTGTATTTTGAATAGTCTCATGTAATTGTGAAGATATTTTAAGGTATTTTTGTCTGCTCGGCTATTTCGGCGTGAATTAAGCATCGGGTATGGAAGAGGAATATTTCAACATAGATATTCCGTATTCTGCTGTTCTCCAGGCGTGAATATTCCCATTCCTTGATAATATTTCGGAGGATATTCCTTGTGATTTTAGTTTTTAAGAGTAGATAAGTATTGATTGATTGAGAGCAACATTGAGTGTCTGTGTTTCAATTTCGTTTAATTCATAAATTTATTAAGCTTTAATTCTTAAATTTATTAAGCTGGCTGAGTATTTCCTATTCTCGCTTTTGTGTATGTTTTATTGAAATATTCCGTATTCCGTACATTTTTCATGGAATACTCAATATTCCTAAGATTTTGAAGGACGATATTCAATATTCAATATTCCCCTTCCACCCCCGATTATGCGAACCTGTTTGACACACAAACATCAAAATGATCTCCATTTGTTATTTAATTACTCTAATGCTTTCCATGTTTTGACGGTGAATAAATACAGCTGAGTGTTTGTCATTTTTCTTACCTTAATTAGCTGCAATGACAATCAAATTTAAAAAAAGCGTTTGAAAYCCGAGGAACTTATTCTGAAAAGCAACAAAAAGCGGCGCGTTCGCGCGTCTGAAAACCGAAATCTGATTTGCACAGCGCTCGATATTAAATATATAGAGGATATTACATGGGCGCATGAGTGAGCGTAGAGATTTTCAACACGAGAAGATAAAATTCGTATCTCCAAGAGACCATGTAATATTCTGTTTATCGTATAATTAACATATGAAAGCAAATTGTGTCGTAAAATACCTTTTTTTCTTACTTCTTCTTACTTCTTCTGCCAA